ATTCTGGTGTCCTCTCTCGTCTTGGTGATGCTTCTTAGCGAAACAACCGCTTCTTCCTGTTCAGAAGCTTCGTCACTCCTCATCTTCAGCACTAATTTCTCCTCTTCCTCGGAAATTGGACCAATAGGGTTCTGGTTTTGGTGTTCATTCTCGTTAATTTCGACACCAGAAGACGAAGACGAGTAACAGGTGGGACGAGTCGCGAGAGGCAGAGGAGTCTCAGGACATCCCGCGGCTAGTGCCGACTCTGATGAACTCGTTTTGAATGGGTTGACCCGGGGACCCAACTCCGTGGTGGCGTGAGAGAAAATGACCGGTGGATTAACTGGCATGGCCTCGAGCAGTTCCTTATCCGAAACCCTTAAATCTGACTCTTGACTTTGGCGGGGGACGCCATTGCTGTACGGATGAGCCTCTCCACGGAGCTATATTCTGGCGGGCGAGGGTTCTCCACCCCGGATTTAACGCACCAATTGGATATCGTGGATTTGAGAGCCAAATTTGGAATCACAGTGGAGAAATCAGGCGTGGACCCGTCTTCTAGCTTGGGAGAGAAACCTAAGTCTCTGCACACTTGAACAGAAACCGATTCGAAGGTCTGACCGGAAGCGACTACGACCGGGTCGGCTATCAGAGACCCAGAAATTGGGCACAGAAACTCGCTGGGGGGCTCTTTGGGTTCGCGCTTGGAGCTTGAGGAATTGCGATGGAAAGAGATTTTCCACCTGGGCCTGCCATTGCCGCCCATAACAATATGATAATAATTGCTTCGCAGGAGCTGCGGATTATCTCGTCTTCTGTCTTAGAATGAATTAACAAATCTCCGGTAACTTTCGAACTAAATTGTATGGGGAAAAAAAATTGCGCACATCGAACAGAAGTCTTTATAGAGGTTTTTGAGATTTGCTACACGGAGTCTACGCTCAGAAAGATAAAATGCAGAAAACGTGATTAGAGTTGGCCCGGGTTTTTGAACTCCCACACAAGATGTCGCCAAGCGTTCGAGATGACTTCGCGGCCTTTTTCTTTTGGTCTACTTTTCGCCTTTGACTTATCTTTTGTTGAGAATTTTTTACCGTAGTCTCTGCGTTTGTGGTTTTTTTTTAATTGAATAATTAAGAATCAGAGAAGTTATGTTTTTACGAATTAATTGATTGATTTTTAATATTTTTATGATTTAAACATATACCTTAGTTATAAATAAATAAACATTTAACAATAGGATTAAATACTTGTTAATAAACATATTTTATCTGTAATTGCAAATTATTATTTTTTATACAATCTGTAATTGCAAATTATATGATCGAGTTATTTGGTTTTTTTACGGAGTTCATGAAAGTAAAATAATAATTAGTAAAGGCGGCACTTACGTTCAGGCAACAACCCCAAAAAAAAAAGAAAAAGAAAAGGCAGCACTTTTATAGGCGCAGGACACCATGGAGAATGTGTGCTTGGGGAGCTTCGGAGGTTGTTGGAGCGGCGTTAATGTCAGCGTGCTGTGAGCCTTGTTTACATAAGTTATTTTAAACATATTTTATATTATTGGCCAAAAAAAACATATTTTATAGATTAAAAAAACTTTAAATTTTATTAAAACATATTTAAAATTCAACAACTTTTTAACTTTATCCCTATTTAATGTATAGCATATCTTATGTAAACAAAGTTAATACAATAATAAATTATAGGTAAAATTATACATTCATGTAAAAGGTTTTTCTCAGTACCTTATACATAGAATAAAAAACTATTTTTTTCCCATATGTTATAAATAGGATCAAAGTAGTAATCATTACCATGATCTTTTTTTAACTTAATTTGATGAGAAAAAATTCTAGCATGTACTTTGTTTTTCTTCATAAATTTTTATTTTCAAATTAAACAATCCTCTATAAACCTAAAAAGAAAATTAAACAATCGTCTAGCTATCTATTTGTGCGGTGCATAAGTCTACACTTTTGACAAATCAATATATTCATGTGTATCAATATACAGTATATTTAAAAATTTTAGGACGAGGATGATTATTTTAGTTTATATGTGGCATTGAAACATAAAGTTAAATGTCATGAAAAAAAGTATTATTCAACATTGCGTACAACATTCTTATGTGAATGTGTGCTTTCGAAGGTTGCTCAAGCGACATTAATGACAGCATTAGAAGATGATGGGTAGATTTATAATAGGAAGAATCTCAAGTACTTATGAAATTTTAAAATTTTAAATAAAAAATGGCTAAAAAATATGTTGTCGTTTACTTTTTTTAAATGTTATCAATTGTTATTAAAATTTAGTAAATAAGAGTAATTTGAAATTTTAAAATTTAAAGATATTTTTTTGTAATTCTCCTTTTATAATTTATGTCAATTAGATGTTGCAATGCAATCATGGCTGATAATTATTTGTTACTGATATGGTATTTAGACTCTCTATCCTTATACAATTGACAAGTTTATACGAAATATATAGATGGTTCGTGCATACAATTTGAGTGATCATGTACTTTTTTTTTCCGCTTAAATTTAGACATTGGATGATGATGTCAACATAAATTCTTTTTTCTTTTTCAAACTCATCCCATTTTACTATCAAGTCATTTTTCTTATATCATGCCAAAAAACCTACGATGTGAATTTGGTTTTTGGTTTTCCTTGGACTTGAGTCTATCAATTATATTTTTTCTCTTTACCTTACAAGATGGTTGTGAAAAAGGAAGGGGATTCAGTAGGTTCTTGTTTCTTTTTTTTTCTTTTTTTGTCAAGGGATTCGATAGGCTCTAAATCATGAAAAGACATTAGAAAACCTGAAAAAGAAGTGGATGAACCAAAATTTGGTCCACTCGGAACCACATTGGTCAACCTTCCTTATGACACTGCTACCAACATTTTACTCAAATTTCCAATTAAGTTGGTTTTAATATGCAAGATTTGGCACTCTTATTTCAAATGCACCTACCACTATTTTGGAGTATACTGGTAAGTCTAGACGTGTTTCAAGAACTCTTCATCTGCTTGTTTTTTATGAGTTTAGGAGTCATGAAGCACAGAATTTGCCAAGTGATAACAATTGTACTTATATTTGTTCATGTAGGAATTCTCCTATATTTGTTTATGTAGGAATTCTTCTGGACCTAATTGTGACAATCACATTAAGCTTGAAATTAAGTTCAAGCTTCCTCCTCACGATTCTAAAATAGAGACTGACACAATACTTGAGATCAAAATGAAAGGTAGAAAGGGACTAATATTGCCTGTAAGCCGAAAGATGACAAGTTTAATGTAGCGAATTCTTGTAACAATTTATTTTACTTGCATGATATTGCTATTAAAAATTCACTTTTTTTACAACCGAAAGACATTTGGTGTTTGCAACCCAGTCACATCAGAGTTTATAAGACTTCCACAATCTAAGAATGACAAAATAACGAAAGACCAATATATTAACTCTAAATTCGGCTATCCAAGAATGACTAGCTAATGAGATACCAACATATTAATTCTAAACCTAGCTATCTCAAGAAAATAAATGAAGATAAGTTAATATAAGTTAGAGCTAAAGCCTTGCAACTAAAAAAGAAGATTGCTCATATTTGTAAATGCTATATCACAAATTTTTGCACCAATCGCTTCAAATACCCAAAAAAAAAAATCAAAATCACAATACACTCTGATACCAAGTCACAATGGAGGTATTAGGGCTTTTGGTGGTTGTTAGGTGATTAGGGTTTTACAGGTCTTTTAGGACTCTAATATGAAGTTGGAATATTAAAACAGTAGTGAGATTCGATAATGTCTGGCCATATGCATTTCTATTTACAATAAAAAATATTGAATCATATAGTCACAACTATCCTCGCAAATAATTATTATATAAATATTTGGATTTTTGGGCCTAATGTCTAAAATTAAAGTAATTTATTATATAACGCAAGTAATAACTAAACACTTGCATTTTTTTTTAAATTTATTAAAGTTAATGGAACAAGAAAGTTGAAAAAAAAAAGCTCATTTTTGTAAATTATACCTCTAAATTGGCCCAATAAAAATAGCTAACAAAGGGGAAAAAAAACCAAAACTTAAACAAATTTGCACACATATAGGTATGATTTTTCAATTTGAGATTTAAAATTCAACTCTTTATAGTAAATCCAAATCTTCAATTATTGCTTTCAAAACAAATTCATGAGAGTGTACATATACTCATTTTTCAAGAGAAAAAAATTAAAGGTTAAAATCATTTAATACAAAACAAAAATAGAATTAATATGCTAGAGAAAATTAATCAGTTTAAATACATATATTGTATTTTTATTTTTTAATTATTCAAATATTTTTAATTAATATAGAATAAAAAATAATTTCAATTTTATTTCTTTATATTTAAGGAGAATCCTATTTAAATCTAATTGAAATACTAAAATTCAAAACTAAGCCTATACTAATTTTTTTGTTTATTTTTTTTGCCACATTTTCCTGAAATGTGAAAATAGTAAATCTTTTGTAAATTATAGAAAATTACAACATAGTTTTCAATTTATATTAATAATTACTCTTATTAAGACAACAAAACTTTTACAGATTTTTTAGGACGACGGAGTAATAATTAATGTAAATTGAGGATGGTGTTATAATTTATTATTTTCATATTTTAGAAAAATAATTTGTAAGGGAGAAAAATATAAAAGTAACATCTCATATTTTAATTATAGAGAGGCATTTTGGATTTTTAAGAATATTCATAAATCCCTGATTAGGAAGTAGTACAAAGTGAAGGCCTGATTTTAAATTTTAGTATGTTAACTGAATTTAAATGGGATTCTTCCTCATATTTATATACAATTTTTTTTTTTTAAATTTTCTTAAACCACTGTTTTTGGGTCAATGGTTAGGGATTCCCGACTTTATATCGATTGGGCCTAACAGCTAGGTTTTGGGCCAAGGGCACTAACTACGATCCCTCCTATCAAACGCAAACTGAAAATATTTGGCGCCGGACGGTGTACCCAGGACAGGCCAGTGCAAGTGACAAAGGTAAGAAAGGAAAAGCGCGCGCAGCAGAGATGCTGCTAAGTCGCAGCACCTTAGTTAACTTGGAGGTCTGTGGCCGGACTTTTTCCAAACACCTCAGCACTTGCAATCCGAACCATAGAAGCGGCGCCAAATCCGTATGTAGCATAGTTTTCAATTCTCTTCCTCAATTTACTGCCCTAACCTCCCGTCAGAAAGACCAAATTCATCAGTACGTTGACGCTCTTCTTCAATGGAACAAGGTTTTCTCTCCCTTAAACTCCTTTTCACGCTAATACGCAGTTTGACGCCTCCAAGCTGACGATTTTTTTATTTATTTAATGGCAGCGGATGAATCTTACTGCAGTTAAGGAGGTCCATGAAGTAATGGAACGTCATGTTGAGGATTCCCTTGCGATTTTACCGCCTTTGAGGGATTGCTATCGATCTCGCTACGGTAATTCATATGATAAGCTCAAATTGGTCGACGTTGGAACTGGCGCTGGCCTTCCTGGAATAATTTTGGCCATAGCTTGCCCGGGTGAATTGTTCATTAAACTTTATTAATGTGTGTTTATGTTAATCGGGTCCCCTTGTTATTTCTGTTCCCCTTCTAACTGAAATGATGCATTCCATAGAATGGGACGTAACGCTTCTGGAGTCTATGAACAAGCGATGCGTTTTCTTGGAGCATGCTGTCGGTGTTACTGGCTTGTCAAACGTTCAAATTGTAAGAGGAAGAGCAGAGGTAAAATTCAATGGCACGTGCATGTACAAATTTTGTTTCTCTTTCTACATTTCAATCACGGAATATAAAAATTTCACCCGAGGATTCGCATTCTTTACTAAGGAAAAATTCAAACGCGCTATGTTATGTTCTTACGCCTATTTAAGGAAGTATTCTTTTAAATATATGTATATGTTAATTGTTAATTTTAAATCGCTGTTGGTTTTGCTGGGTGATTTTCCTTTTCTCTTAAAGGAATGATGCTGAGGAGCATCTTGTGGTTGCTATTTGGATTTAGTTTTTTCTCATCCGAACATTGCTTATGTAAACAATGCCAGAGTATCCACGTTGCGTATACTCGCTTGCCCATCGCAGATAAAATCGTTAAACTCTTACACTTTCATCACAGTGCGTGCTTAAAAATTTTAAGACAATAACCTAGAACAATTTCTTCTTAAACCGAGCGCTGTGAAAAATCATCTTATTCTTGTTATTTTGCCAATAACTGTGTATTTTCTCCTGCTTGAATATATGCCTTGGACTGTGCACAGAACAGAATTTAGGTCAGAATCTTTGCTTGAGAGAGCAATTTGACATAGCAGTAGCAAGGGCTGTTGCGGAGATGAGAATATTGGGTAATATTTAGGACTTTATTATGTGGATTTTGGATGCTTCAAGACTTGGTAATATTCACTGCTATGATTCTTGATTCTTGTTATTGGATTTTCAGCCGAGTATTGTCTTCCCTTGGTCCGTGTTGGTGGATTGTTTCTAGCCGCCAAAGGTTATCATCCCGAGGTTTGTGATTTCCATAACACTTCTTTGCGTTGTTGGTCATTATCTTCTGCAGATTATATGTTTAAAATTTGATTTAGTGATTGCTGGAATGATATGAGAACAAGCAGAGACTTTATTTCTCCATACTTGTTCTTTGCTAGGGCATGTGGCTAAATTATTGCAATTGCAAATTTTATTTGATTTTCGCTGGTGTTGAGAATTTGGGAATTGGACTTGAATATATATCCTTGGTCATTAGCTTACTCTGACTCCAACCTATGGGCTGTGCTACAAGTGAATTAGCTAGAAGGGGGCATTAGGAACGTTATAAGCATTGAATAAGGATTTTTACACGAGATGGGAATTCATGAGGGAATAGAATAGAAAGGAAAGTCATGTCTTGGTCTCGTATGGGATTTTAATGATGGAAGGGAGTTGTTAATAGGACAGAAATGACAAATATTTTGTCCAAATCAACTTTATAATTAGAATGCGATTTTAGTTTTTAGCTATTATATGTAATTATACCATTTACCTATGTCATTGCTACATTGACCACCGAATTTGGAGACCATCTCTTTCCATTTCATTGTTAAAAAGATTTTCCGAATATTGGTCCCACCCACTTTGGCCATTCCATCCATTCTCTGTTATACGTTAATTTGAAGGCATGAGTCCAAATTAGGCAATGCCTACGAGGAATTTCATGGGGTAATATCTTGATTATTTGTGATTCTTTCTTACAATAAGAGAGTGAGAGAGAATGAGGGTGATGTTTGTAGTCACTTGGCAAATTTGTTCTAGCATGTAGATGTTAGCATTTAAGGGAAACAAAGGGCATGCAAATTCAAAATATATACGTAAAATGCTTTTCGTACATATCCGGTACATCTGAAATCGTCAACCATCTATTAATATATGGCAAATTTAAATAGGAGGAACTTAGGAAAGCTGAAGGCGCAATCCAAAAGATGGGTGCATCTCTATTGCAAGTATACTCAGGTACCTCTTTAATCCGTTAAACTTATCTCCTAATATAAACTTTGTGGTTTCCTAGTTAAGCTTTTAGACGAAACTGGCATTTATATCAAAGGCTTCCGTCAACAAGTATAGGTTTAATAGACATAATTTTCCCTTCTGCAACCTTTAAAAGTGCATAGGAAAATCTCAGCTCTGATCATCAATAACGTAAGTGTCATGTCCTGTTCAGTGGAATCGCAGAGCCCACATGGTCAGCGAACTGCTGTTGTTTGTTAAAAGATCGTCCCACCCCAAAGAAATATCCCCGTGATCCTGGTACACCAGCGAAAGAACCACTGTAACTAACTTCAGTTGACATTCTGTTGGTATTATGTTGTTATTCCCTTCATTCATTTTACTTTTCCTGAAACATCGTGAACCTGAGAGTGGCCTCTTGTCTGTAACAAGTTCAACCTGATTGCGAGATTTTCTGCTCCGGTGAAGCAAATTTGTATTTATTTGTATGATGTAAATTTACCCATGTCTATTCCCTTGTCAAAACAGGGGCAAAAAGAAAAAGAAGAAAAACCTATTATGGTTTTCTATTGGATTAATGATAATGATAATGACTAGGATACGAGCCATCAGCAACTCGCCTCAATCATTTTTTGAAGGATGGTGGTGTTAGCTTTGTATGTAATGATTTTAGATTTGAATTATGGTTGGAATTAAAAGAATATGGGGGCAAATGATTTATGCGTTTGAACTCTCTAAGCTTGTTGAGAAGTTATACTCAAATCAAAGATTTAATTCCTGAAAAAAATGTTCAAAAAAAAAATTAAAGGACCTGTTTGTAATTCTGGATAAATTTGTTTATATTATATAAGGTCTTATTTGTAGATTATAAATGAGATTTTATAATTGGAATCAAAGTAGCAATAATGTTAGTTGCAACTTACAAGTTCGCAGCATATTCCCGGGACTCCTAGGAAACGAGGCGAGTTCGTGATGTTATATGTTGAAATTTTATTGCATCGTCGCATGATCCTATATTAAATTAAATGGGTCATTATCAAACTGCTTAGGTTAGAAATCGTGGCATTTTGACATATGATTGTTACCGAACACTTCACCCGTTCTTGCGTAATTAAACGGATAAGGATCATTCTTAGGTCCCACGGATAATTATATGGTGAAATTTAATTACTTTTTATCGAGCCTCGGCCTAACCCCATTCATTTAATTAATTATTTCTTTTTTTTTTTGGGAAGAAAAGGCGAAATGAATGAATTAATTAATTCGTAAAATAAATCATATAATCAGGAAAAGACTCGATTTTACAGAATATAACAATAACTTGTCGGTGTTATTGGAGTCAATTGGTAAAAAATGTATTTAATGTTTAAATTATTTCTTAGTATGGTAAGATAACTAAACCAATTTAAATGTTAGGATCTTAAGCACAAAAAATAGTGTTAATTAGAAGTCCTTAATCAAGCAAAAGTTTAAGCAGTGTTAGATCAGCATGGCCAAAGATGACAACTCTTAAAATACTATGGTGCATTAAGAAGAGAAAAAAAAATCATTCCCATGACAAATCGGTAATTTTTCTGAAGGATCATGAACCTAACGCCTCTCCCTCTGCAATAATCCTAGGAATCTAAGAAACAGGGACAACAATCTGCCACATCTTAACGTCGCAATCCAAACTGCCACTGTACACTAGAAAAGAAGCTTCAGAGGAATCACAACGATCAATGGCCGCAGTTATACACTTGATTGCTCCTCTATGCCCTTCCAAAACTGCTAAACACGAGTACTGTTTCTCAATCCCTCTCCATATCCGAATCGTTCTATCCGCTGAACCACTACAAACCAAATCCCAAACCACAGCCAAGCACAATATAGACTTAGTATGGCCTCTTAATGCCCCCACCAACTCCATTTTCCCATCTTCTTCATCTTTCTCCCAAACCAATATCGACCTGTCACTCGCACCAGAATACAACACGCTCCCGTCACTGCTCAGAGCCAACGCATTGATCCCAGAATCGTGTCTCTCTAATGTATCTACCAAAGAGTGCTTCTTTCTCCTTCTCCTTTCTTCCACACTTTAATTTTCCTGTCTGCTGATCCCGTGTATACGTACCCATCGTCGGAAACTGCGACCGCATTTATGGCATCGTCGTGTGCGTTGGTTACTGATTCTAAACAGCTGAAATCTCTGGTTCTCCATATTTTGACTGTCCTGTCCCATGAACCGAGTACAGCAAGGTTTCGTCTTTGGACAAGGCCAGAGCAGAGACTGTGTCCACATGATGAACCCACGTACATTTCTTGTGCCTTCTGATCTGGACATGGTTCTTAGGGATCAAAATTTTGGAAGCACGATCACCTAAAGTTGGAAGGGTGGCTACATGCGTGTATTCCTGTTGGTCAGTTTCTTGGTTGCTGATCTTCCATACTCTGATTTTATGATCTTGGTGAGCACTGAAAAGCTTATCAGATTGAGCCACGATGGATTTCACTGCACCCTTTCCGGAAAGTGCTAGTTGGTGATGGAATTTCAGGGTCTAACTCAGAAAGCAAAAACACTGCGATTCCACGATCTGATTTCTCTGTCAGATGAACCTGCGTAGAGGAACTTCCCGAGAGGGCAAGACAGGATGTGTAAGAAGAAGTGTGGCCTTTGAGAGTTGTGAGGCACTGGTGGAAGTGGTGGAAGGATGGGTTTCTTGCTGGTGACGAGATTGTGAGTTAAGGGAAGGCACTGAAGCCATGCTACGTTGTGAAGACACAGACTGTGGCCCTGGTTGAAGATGGTGTGAGCAAGAGGAAGAAGAAGAAGAAGCACCATCAGATCGGTGATGTTCCATGATTCACATGTTA